TGATTGCTTAGCAATTAAGCTCTCTGTTATTCTAATTTGTCATGAAACAGGGGAAAAAAAAATGATAGCAAAGGGCTCTGGCTTAGCGCTGCCTCCCTGGCCGGGGCACAGGAGAAGGAAAGCGGCTTTAAGGTCAAGTTTGCAATAGAGTCATGAATCTGCTGAGAGCCAAATAATTTCCCTGCCACCGGGGCGGTCGGGCTGGGGCAAAAGGGAAGAAAAATTCCAGGCTTGCTTCTGTTGAGAAGCGCATGTGCCCCCTCGCACGCTCGCAAGCGCCCTGGGGAAACGCCGCCCTCGCAGGGCTGCGCGTGTGCACTTATCCGCGCGGGCAGACGAGAGCCTTTCGCAGGAGAGGAATAGCAGCAAACTAAAGTGGATTTTCCACAGCTCACGGGAGTTTATAGCCTGCCTTTGAAGCGTTGTAACTACCTCCGGGCTCCCCGGGGAGCTCCGCTCACGGCGGAAGGCAGCTGCGAGATTAAATACGAGGTGGCAGCGCGCCGCTGCCCCTGCACTCCCTCAAAAGCACTCGCAGCTGCTTTTGGGCCTTTTTTCTACCGCAATATCAAAACCCGGCAGACTGTCAGTGCCGAATGCCACCCGTCTTGCCCGCGGCACGCCGAGTCCCGCAGCAGCCCCAGGAGCGGGCTCGTCCCGGGGCTCAGCCCCTGGGCACCCCTTTGAGGGGGGAAGGGGAGGGTGGGAGCTGGGCAAATCTGGGGCTCCATGGGCCAGGAGCTGTGCAAACCCGGGGCCGTGCAAATCTGGGGCTCCATGGGACAGGAGCCGTGCAAACCCGGGGCCGTGCAAATCTGGGGCTCCATGGGCCAGGAGCTGTGCAAACCCAGGGCCGTGCAAACCTGGGGCTCCATGGGCCAGGAGCTGTGCAAACCCGGGGCCGTGCAAATCTGGGGCTCCATGGGACAGGAGCCGTGCAAACCCGGGGCCGTGCAAATCTGGGGCTCCATGGGCCAGGAGCTGTGCAAACCCAGGGCCGTGCAAACCTGGGGCTCCATGGG